TTAAAGCATTATCAACTGTAGTTCGACCCATGTTAGATAAACAAATTTACACAGTAATTAAGTCTATTTAAGTTCAACTTAGCTGATGTTTCCTGGGCGGGTTGATGACCTTGTTCTTGGCCCAATGCCCCTTCCTCTGCCAGTGAGTGATAGTTCGTAGGGAGATCTAAAGGCCAAGGGTTGTTGGGGTGGTGTGCTTTGGTCATTTTTCCTTAGGATCTCGAGGTCGGCCTCACATCTTATCTTGAATATCCTGCTTTGGGTTGTTTCTCTTAACAGGATATCTTGATTTTTGACCCAGCAGAACTCGAAGTCATATTCCTTCTTGAAATCCTTAGCTAACTTGAGCAGTTCTTGCTTTTTGGGCGTTAGGTGCTCCAGGATGATTGGTGGCTTGCTTGAGGGGTCCAGAGGCACRTCACTACGGAMAACATTTTGGAAATTCACATTTCTGATCTCTCTTCTCTTTGACATAACAGATTCCTTCGCCAAGCGCCGGGTGAATTTACAAACAATTGCGGGATTATTGCTGGCATTTCTGCTTTGAAGTCTATGTGCAATGTCGATGTCGTAATCATTTACTTTTGCTCCTCATAAAAATTGCTCCTCATATAAAAATTGTTGAGTTTCTTTTTCATAATTGGTAAGATACAGACATGGACACTGTATTATAATTTTACAAAATACACATTGTCAAAAATGGGTATGCTGCAACGAAGTTGTTATGATTCATATATAGTGTACTTTCTTGACATAAAATTCAATTCAAAGTTAAGTGGGACAACTGAAGGTACAAACAGAAAATAACTGCATTATTGAATGCAGGAAAATAATATGATATTACTATAAAGTGGGGAAATAATTGGAAAACATAGGTGTTAACACATGGGAAAATACTGGGAAAGAATAACCCGTGAATGGGAAAACACTGGGACAAGATAAACCCATCAATGGGAAAATACTGGGACAAGATAAACCCATGAATGGGGAAATACTGGGACAAGATGAACCCGTCAATGGGAAAATACTGGGACAAGATAAACCCATAAATGGGAAAATACTGGGACAAGATGAACCCATAAATGTGAAAATACTGGGACACGATAAACCCATAAATGGGAAAATACTGGGACAAGATGAACCCATAAATGTGAAAATACTGGGACACGATAAACCCATAAATGGGAAAATACTGGGACA